CAATGTATAAACTTCCATGAAAGTTTGAACAAGTCTTGTGTTATTTTTCCTTAATTATAAGTTGTACATTTGTGAATGAGGATTGAATTTCGCGCTCTTTCCGCATGTGTGGTACCAACAACGTTACTTATATTGTTGGTACCGTAAATGAAATATTTGAATTCTTTGTTGCTCGACGATTTGAGATAGGACTCATTAAAAAACATTGTTAAATTTATTCCTTGTTACACGAATGTTGTTAAAATGATAAAAATGTTCATAGAATCGTCGCAATTGGAAAAATAGAATTTGACATTTACAAAAATATTTGATTATTATTACATTCGATGATCACTGTGTCAGTATAATACAATGTACAATTGGTATAACAGGGTAACAAGTTGCTTACCGCGATAACAAAAATATTCTCTGCAGGAATATATTATAAATAATATAATTAATTAACCCTTTTCTATAAATGACAGTACACTTATTTCAACATACGTAACAATTAATGTTAATTATATTATTGTTGCGTTTAGAGGTCGGTCGTGTATGAATGAAGAAATGGAGAAATAATCTTGTGGAAAGTTACAAAATTGACATATTTAAGAAAGAAACAATCATGAAAGATTATTAAATTATCGAAATCGAGAAAACTCGGAAACAATCATAATGTTCTTGTTTATAAAATGCGAAGATTGTTCTCGGATTTCGATTTCGTTAATTACTAAATTTACTAGCGAATTTTACTAACATGATCGTTGTACAAAACAGATAGATAAAACAGATAATTAATGACTTCATTTAATTATCGATTTTGATTCGAACCTACGATTAAGGTAATTAAGGATTAATTGAGCAATCCATTGAGCACCACTGTTACTCAATAAAACCAGAAATCGTACAATATTTTCAACGGCTGCCAACTGTTCCCACAGTTGCAACGTAGATAATTGGATGCTCAAGGTCATTGAAGGGCCACGATTGTTACAATGCTTAGTTGCCCCCCGCTACTATGCACTTCATAAAAGGATATTCTTTACACGATTCACAGTGAGGAAACTGTCCTCGAACAAACAATTAACGTCCATCCGATTATTTCGAGTTTTATTATAAAATACAAAAACTACCTTATCATGAATTATAAAAACATCTGAAACTGTACTCTCAACCCTGTGGAACATGAGCGCCAGATTAGAGATATTGTTTCGGTATTGTCACATGAGTAGAAATGGTATTTAAAAGGAATCACAATGTCCCAATATACCAGCAAGTTCAATTCCCCAAGAATTCAGAGAATTGACTGCCAGTTTGGGATCTTTAGAGAACTCTACCTGACTCTTGAATATCACATTGTATTCAGTTGGGTGCTCGAAACTATTTAAAAATAGTTCCTACAATTTCGTATCATCTTGACATATTTCATAACGCTTCATAACGTTGCAATTCTCTCTTTAGATATTTGAAGTTATTCAATTCTCTAAAAATGCATGAATAATTTCATCGAACGAAGTTCATTTGAAACTGTTGCACATTCCAACTTTACAACTCGAACAATGCATGTTACTTTAATAGTGCACCAAATATTTTCAACCATTTCAACCAGTCCTACTATCATGGCTCAATTTTCAAGCAACAGTTCCCATACATTTTTTAATGTGATCTCACGTATCACAATATTTTCTTGAACACTTCAACAGTGATTATACAAACAATTTGTAAAGGCTCAAGCCACGGAAAGATTTCCGATGGTGACATGTAAAGTGTTGCCATAAGATTTTATCCTTCCTTAAAAAAAAAGAAGAAAACAGTTTCTTCTTAGAAAAGTCTTATCCGGAATAATTGAAGATTTACAAGAATTTATGTATTCCCATAGAAGGGATTAAACGTTTCCCTGGATTCCGCGAAGTCCTCCGTTTCAAGATTTCACACAAAAATATTAAGCTCTTGCAAAAATGCTTACACTGTTTCTCCTCGTTTTCTACAAATGTCTGTTCCGACATTCCCAAATCAGTAAGTACTCCAAATCGGTGCAAGACAAACCAGCAACAGTTGAGAACAATTCACTTTCATTTTACAGGATCTTAGTCTTAAAGTCTTCGAGGAACCCTTAAAAGGTGGATTCACTCTCCAGACTGGGCTCCTGTTTGAACATCCTGAATCCGGACACACTGGTCACGTCCTCTTGGCTCTGAATGGGTGTCAGATCCCTCATTATTATCACGGGACTTCCCCCAGTCAGCATGTGATCCTGAGGGCTCAGGGGTGGAACATTGGCAGGCGTCAACGGACTGCTAGGACTTTCGTTGCTGCTCACGTAACTTCCAGGAGCGTTTGAGATCGGTATTTGCGTTACAGCACCGTTCATTTCAGCTGTGGCACCATCCTGGGCACCACCCAGGAGCATCTCCTGCAGCAGATTGTCGATGTGCGCCACTCCGAACAGTCGTACGAACTGGATTTGCTCGATCATTTGCCAGGAAATGGACTGCAGAGCTGGCAGAGTCAGGAGGATTTCACCGAATCGACCACGACTATCGTATTGTCTATCACTAATATAGTCCTCCAGGTTGATCTGAATCTGATAGCGCAGTTGTTTGATTCGCTGCGGTTCGCTTAGTCCCGTTGCATCTATTAACAGATACCATACACAATTTTATGCTATGCGTAGCAACGAAGGACTATGGTCTTGTTAATCTCGGGGACACAGGAGCAAGTTTCGTAAGGAAAACATTAGGAGAAGCAAGTTGGTACGAAGATACCCATTAGCTTCTATAACACAGTTGCAATTATGGTGGATGAAGTAATGGATGTAATATACTGTATCTCTGTTGGAGGACTGTACCTGAAGATTTGAAGTAATAAGCCGCCTTTATAACTTAGATTACTACATAAAGATAATTAAATACTAAAAGAGATAGTGTCCAGTACTCTATACAGAACGGTACAGAAATGTTTCTAGCAGCGACAAACTATAGTGTGACTATATAAATATATATAGTCAATATAGCAGTGACTATATAAATATATATAGTCAATATAGCAGTGACTATATAAATATATATAGTCAATATAGCAGTGACTATATAAATATATATAGTCAATATAGCAGTGACTATATGAACTGCAATTCATAGTCTAAATAAAGCGAGCTTAAGGACAACAGCTTTTGGTATCCGATGACATGACAAAATATTATTCAGGTCATCAGGAGCTCCTAGCCAGATAATCTTCAGCTTAAGAGGATCACGCCAGCAAGCTCGCAACAGGGAGACGACTACGATCTTCTGCAATTTATTGGAGAATGGCGGCGGTGACCGCACCGATGATCAATTAAATCTCATTGAGACAATCGTTCTCGCGTGCCCGGCAAATCATCGCTGGATGACACGCAAATTCTTCGTCCCGTTGGGCTGCGGATCGCGATGCGAGACTACCGAAGATCATCATTAACCCAGCACGCATGGAATCCCCTAATGGAAGCTTCATCTAATTACTGGACCGCCCATTTAATTGTTCGTTTGCTGATAAACCCGGGGTCAAGTGGGAGTATAGCCTCCGGGACATGTGGTTAGAAGACACCAAGAAAATTAATGCGCTCATTATATCCAATTTGATTGCAGAAGCAATTTTGGCAGACGCCCGATAACTATACACAAGGCACTGTGCAAAAAATTGTTTCAAGAGGTAGATGGTTCTATTTATCCTGATCAAATTTGTCTATAGTCAACTGTTTAATGAGCCCGGCTATCGTGGATCTGATCTTAGGACTGGCCTGCAAAGTGGCATCCCTTAAATTTATTGAGTTGTTAAGGAATTGAACGTGAGGAGACGTTGTAGATCATGATCAAGCACTGGGTAATAGATTAGCATTCAAGATAATGGTTCTTAGTGCTTAGAAGATGATGTACTTCCATTGCTACTGAACCTAACTACAATGAATGTGATCTTAGAACCTAAACAGCTGGGGAATTGAAAGTTAAGAGATGTTATAAACCATGATCAGCACTGTGCAATGGATTACTATTCAAAATAATGGTCCTTAGTGTTTAAGAGATAATGTAGTCCATCGATTGATAAATTTTGTTATGAGAATAGTTTTGCACTTGTAGTAGTGATGTGAAATAGTAGTTGGGTCTTGCAGTCAGGCATCCTCGGAATTGATTGAAATATTGGGAAAATTAAATATCATATATGCAGCATGATGGACCCTGTGCAACAGATCAGTGTTTAGGAGAACAGTTGTTAGTACTTAAGAGATAAAGACGGTAGAATCATGGAACAGGTTACAGGATACACAGGTCACTTAATGGAACAGGTTACTTACTGGGGTCAAAAAAGACGATGGCTTTCAAGCATGCGAATTCGGTGTCGTCGATCTGCACCTCGTTTAATGGTTTCACCAGCTCGTCCATCACTCTGACGCCGACCTTGCTTATGTCCAGATCCTGATTGCGACCCTCTGCGGACAAAGATATGACTGATAACGACGGTTAAGCCGTCCCTATCGTATTCAGCTACCAATCGACTGAGTCCGGATGAGATACGAGTGTACAGAAAGCTGTGGAACCCGACAACCAGTTTTGAAGAATAGACCCCATCCTGCACTCATGCTACTGCATTTTCGCAACGTGAAGGCCGAACTCAGTCTACTAGCTACTCCCCCAATACATGGTCGTGCAACTTACTCAACGAGACTGTCGATGCCCTTTCTCTATTGAATGTAACTTGTTTTTCATCGGTTTTAAATTGTTAACATTTGGTGAGAACAGTTGCTATATCTGTGGTGTTAAAAAATCAGTACAAATTAAACAAATATTAAGAAACACTTTAGAGAAGTTAGTGATATATCTTATACTATTTATTAACTAAATTATAAGTTAACTAAATTATTTTTCCTGCATCGATCGTCTCGTTTTAAATGATTAAATTCTACAAAAGTGCAAACATTATACGGACAATTGTTTTTCCACAAAAATTCGATTGAACTGAAACAACATATGTATGTATGAAATGGAGAACGATACAATAAAACAATCAAACTTTTCTGGAATGATGTTAAAACAATGTTAGTGTTTTCTTTTTGTTGTTTAGAGGATAGTTACTATCGTGCATGCTGTTATTCACTCACCCATGTTTTCCTAACAATTATGCCATACCTGCTTACGTAAGTGCATAACTTTAGAAAAATTGTTTGCTTTAAAAATTCCTTTGTATTTTTACAAACCGATCACGCGAAGGTCAGAACTAAATAATTTATAAATAATTAATAAATGGAGATTACATATTTTACATGATAATTTTATATGGATTCAGATAATGGTACGTTATCTATCAAGAAAATTTCAAACGATTACACGCTTCTCCGCACGATTTCGTTCTCTCCAGATTCCTTATCAAACGAAATCTTATCTATCGATTGTATTGAGAGATGAAATAATACAATGGTAATTTTTATCACGTACGACTGTATTTTTAGCTGTTTCACGATTCTGTAAAAAATATTTTGACGCGATAACGATCGACTGATATATTACCGATCAGATAAAATTAATTTTTTTTACCATAAGACAATATCGATTGGAATTAGAGAAAAAAGTGGTATTAAATGTTAGTAATAATTGTGTTATCATCATTATCCCCGATACTGCTTAATTATAAATGCACTTGTATGTTATTCAATTATTGACAATGTTCCACAAATAGTACACGATGGATACGCTAATTTTTCGACTTATCAAGTTGCATGAACATTAGATAATTTTTTCATTTCGAGGCCACTTCTAGATCGCTACGCCTTGTTAACATGAGTCACAAATCGAAGGTTGAAACATTCTTATCAATTTTAACTTGTCAATCGGCACTCGTAATAAGTAATTTTTGATAGCACTGCTAGTATAATCACTTTTTGATGCATCGTTAACACAGCTGCGTTCTACATTACCGACGGAAAGATTGAACGGGGGGGTTCCCCGACATTTAAATTTGCGCGGGTAATTTAAACAAGCGATTAGAAAACACGATGAATTACTAAAAATCTTTAAGCTTGAATTGAAAAATACAAGTTAATACAACTCATCATATCGATCCTTGATGTTCTAACAGAAAGATCGACCTTTTACGAAGACAACAGTGATTCATGGCTTTCAGCATCCGATAATATAAATATTTTCTCACTGATAATATTAATTTTCATTTCAATTCGATTCGATTATTGTTCACGGTTGCTAAATGTTTTCCTAAAACATTCTAAAGCAACACTGTCCAGAATTCGCCCGCCAAATTAAAAGAAACAAGGTAGCCGACTAATTTTAGTAAGAACAGACACTAAAGCCGATCCCAATTCGGGAGATTCGAAGGAAGGACGTACCAGGACAGTTTTTCGTAATGATGCAGTTGTTGCCAAGCAAGAGGACGTCCTTCAGCTGCATGCTGCGCCTGGCCACGCCAAGGAGAAGATGTTCGCCAGCGTGTGCCCTCAGAAGGGCGACCTGATCGTCCAAGGTCAACTCACTGAACGCTGGTATATACTTGGCCCATTCGACTAGGATCAGCAGCTGCTGCTTCATGCTGTCGCAGACGTCGTTTATGTTCGCGATCTGCTTCGTGCTAAGATCGATGTCGTTGTTCGGACTGCCTAGCTGTTGACAGTACGCTCCAGTTACCATATGGCCCGAAAATACTGGGTTAGGTTCAAGAGAACTTGACCGAAAGGGTACATTTGGCTGCTGGGATTTTAATGAAAATTTAATATGATGTAATGTATACAAAATTAGGGGGTGTTTAAGTCATCGTTTCGTTAATTTTCAATTTGTTTGTAAGATACGAATATTACAAAGTTATCCGTTTTGCTCATTTTCACGAAAGCCTGTGTATGTGATATTGTATGGGTATCATTTTTTATTTTGAAAAATATATACGTTGGGTTGACAATTTTTTTTTTAAATGAAAGTCAAACCTTCTACAATGTGGCAGAAAAATTACGATCGAATTCTATAAATAGCTTGCGAGGTAAAAATTCATAAACTACAGCAAGTTTTCAAGAAATGTAAAATTCGAAGGTTCGTAATTTTGCAAATGAAATCGCAACCGGCAAAGTGATGACCAGCACTACATTATACTTCATTCTGTGTTTGCAATGAAAATTATAACTCGTTCTAATCATGTGAATCGTCCTGTACACAAATTCTGTACACAGTGACTCATGCACTTCCGCGTATGCAATTAAAGTAACAATCGAATGTGAAAATTATATACGACTGCTGTTAACTCGTTCATGCCGCCAATTATTTTTCTCACTTCTTTCGAACGTGATTGCACGAATCCTAACACAAAATCCGCAATTTTTCAACGAACTAATGCGTTCAAACAAATTTACGTTAACAGAGTGAACGAAAGAAAAGAATCGAACAGCAACAAAATTATTTTATTTTAACAGCAAAAGAACAAGCAACAAAATTATAAACACTTTTATTTCTGTCAAATATTAATTTAAATCGTTTATGAAGATTGTAAAAAAATCGAGTTGAACTTAATCGTTTTTAATTATTTATTTTGAGTTTTATACTATTGAACAAATTTTCTGTACGGACGATTGTTGCCATTTTATAACAAAATGGTGTTTCAACGACCGCAGGAAGGAGTTCGATTTCATTTACACATGCGGCACGAACGCAACGATTCCTCGCGAGGAAAACAGCCGGATGTCTTTCCGTTTACCGCATTAATATACATCATGAGGGGCCAATATTCACACGGGCCTCATTAATTCTCTTTCTTCTCGTAATTATTGGGAGCCACGCATTAAATTCGTTTGATTAAACCCAGTAAACAAAGAGCGAGACATTGAACGCCTCTCATTAAACCAGTCGGCCGAATCGACTAATGGATTAGCATGCCCCAGCCGATTTGTACAGGCCCTGCCAGAAATGTGGAGTCCATTTTTCGACGTCCGATAAAGACGCGAAGCGGTCAGTTACGGAAAAATTCGCAAAAAATATCCATATTCGTTGTTCGAAAAATCGCGTGTATTCGAACCGTTATAACAGCACGAAAAAGAATCGTAGATCAATAAACCTTGGACTCATTTTAAAGCTCGAAGCTTCTACTTTTCATCTAAATTATTCATTTTTCCCTAAAATTTGTTTACACTGTATGGTAGACCGAAAATTGTGGATATGTTGTCTCTCAAGAATGCTGGAAATTCAAACGTCTCCAAAAACCGTGGATAATTATTTTCGCGAACGACTGTACCACAGATTTCAAGATTGAAGCTTCCTCGTTACAATGACATTTCAAAATTTGATGTATGCTTTTTTAAAGACGTTTTAAGTTCGATCATGCGAAAACCTCGTGCATTGGCGGTGTACTTTCCGCTCAAAGCTCGATAAAACGACCAAAAAAAAATCGTTGATCAAATTTTTCGTGCTCGTTGCAAAGCGCAGACTTCAATCTTCAAATTCGTGTAAAGCTTCGTTCGGGTAAACAATTATTTGATTTCTGTACGGAGATTTACATTTGAAAAATCGTTTAGAAACGATCGTTCCTACTTTATCACTTATATACCGGAGTAAAGATACTCCAATGGAAAAAGTAATCAAGTGATACGAAAGTAGATGCTTTAAGCTTTAAAATGAGTCCAGGTTTATCCTTCTACGATATCTTTTTGCGGGGTTATGATTTTTTCCCCGAAGACACCAATTTAGTGTGCTTCGATTTGCAAGTTGCATTTTGCAACTAACCTCGCGAAATTAAAATTTTGCAATTGTCGATTAGAACTGACCTCGAGGGCAGCGCCGACCTGCCTGCTGAGCATCTCGGCCTGAAGAAGAGACACCACCGACAATCCGCTCCCGTTGCTACTTTGTTCTTCGTAGCTCGGCCTTCGACAGCTTATCCGATCCCTTTCGTTCTGTACAGCTGAAGCAAATCGGAAGAAAGAGGGATTATCATCCACCTGTTACTGTCGCGACGATGTGACATGTGGTATAACCGAGCGCCAGTTGGTTATTTCAAAAATCGTCGTTGCAACTGTATATATTTAATTAGGAAGTTCCATTGCTCACCTTCTTTCTTCATGCCAGCCTTGAAACATTTCCGTAATCTGCAATACCTGCACTGATTCCTCTTGTCCTTGTCTACCACGCAGTTCCGACTGAACCTGCAAAAATCAGAACATTTGCATTATGTAAACAAATAAGGACATTCTATTTTAAGTTAATGAAAATCACGAACGAAACAGAGACAACAGCATTCGAATCATTTTCCTTTGTTGGTCCGTCGACGTGCGTGCAAATTTACATTTCAGATTTTGTTTTTGTTTATGAACACGCAGATTTCAGAATTACATAGAACTTTTCCAACGTGCACTATGTTATTATTAATAGTATTCTGCTATTATTTTGTATTTTATTCTTTACTAAGGATTTCGTTGTCATTGCCTCGTTATTTTATTTTATTTTTATTTTTATTTTATCTTTATTTTATTTTTATTTTACTTTTATTTTATTTTTATTTTATTTTTATTTTATTTTCGTTTTATTTTTGTTTTATCTTTATTTTATTTTTATTTTATTTTAGTTTTATTTTACTTTTATTTTATTTTTATTTTATCTTTATTTTATTTTAGTTTTATTTTACTTTTATTTTTTTTATTCTTGTTTTATTTTTGTTTTATTTTTACTTTATTTTATTCCATTTTATTTTATTTTATTTTGTTTACTTTACTATGATTTTTATTATGATTAATTTCTTCAATGATTGATCGAACTCGTAAAATTGTTATTCTGTTGCAATGTATTTTATAACCGCGTCAAGTTGTTGCCGCAATGTATTCTAGCAATGCATGAAGTTTTTTGTCGATCTTACACACAGTAATAAATGTTAACAATAAATGTTCTTGTTAGATGAAGAAGAAAATAACGACGTTGAAAATTATTCAGCCGCAACGTATGCCAGAATCGCAGCAGCGATCATTATTAAAATCTCAGTCTTATCAATTTCTTTCGAGTCCCCGAGCGATGCAAATGCGTGAACTTCAGCAGCCATCCAGTTCTGCGTCAACCGTGCACAATTACTTCTTTTTACTTCCATTAATTCAGAAAGTTTATGTCGCCGTATCTACATATATTTAAGTTACGGCCGCGACATGATTTATCGTGGCCCCCGATTCCATCGTTTACAATGTAATATACACATATACATAGGCGGCGTGATGCAACATTAACGTGTTTACCAATTTTCTCTAGAACCGATCAGTAAACACGTTAACCAACAGCTTCCAAGCAAATTATATTACCTCCAGCCGAATGCGAGACGCCAGTTTTTCATTGCGATTCGCGTTTTACGCGTCCCAGTAGAACATTATGATATATGTATATACATATAGTTATTCAGAGAAACGAGTCCGAGCTGATAAAATGGAACGTCGGCGTGCTACGCACGTGATAGACGCAGCGATTCGTTCGCGTTCCGCCAATCGAACGGATCCACACGAAATCGCGTGCATTTGTTTACAATTCTATCGCGTTGTAATCCGATAATAGTAAACTGTCGGCGAACTTTTAAATTATTGTTTTCAACTCGTTCAAACCGAAGCCTTCTAATCTACTTACTGGATAATACCAGTTGCATCGTTAATAGTTCGTCCTCATTGTCACCGATTTTCTACTATTGATTTGATATTTTGGTATAATAATTTTTATTTGTTCTTATACTTTGTTATAATAATCTTTATTTTATCTTATATTTTGATGTAACAATTTTTATTTGATCTTATACTTTGGTATAACAATTTTTGTTTGATTTGATGTTTTGGTATAATAATTTTTATTCGATCTGATATTTTGGTATAACAATTTTTATTTGATCTTATACTTTGGTATAACAATTTTTGTTTGATTTGATGTTTTGGTATAA